AGTTTAAATTCTTGCTGGAATTCTGGTCTGAATTCTCGCTGGAATCACAGTTTGAACTCCAGTTCTTTGTTTGTTTACCAGTCTGAATTCTTGCTGGAATTCCAGTTCGAATTCCAGCTTGAATTCCTGCTGGAATTCCAGTTTTAAATTCTTGTTGGAATCCCAGTTCATTGTTGGAATCCCGGTCTGAATTCTCGCAGGAATTCCAGTTTTAAATTCTTGTTGGAATCCCAGTTCATTGTTGGAATCCCGGTCTGAATTCTTGCTGGAATTCCAGTTCCAATTCCAGCTTAAATTCCTATTGGAATTCCAGATTAAATTCATGTTGGAATCCCAGTTTAAATCCCTGCTGAAATCCCAGCTCATTGCTGGAATCCCAGTCCGGAATCCTTGCTGGAATCCCAGTTCTTTGCTCGTTTTCCAGTCTGAATCCCTGGCTGGAATCCCCAGCTGGAATCCTGGCTGGAATTCCAGCTGTTCCCTGGCAGAACCCGGGACTGCCGATCCAGGGCTGACAATTTGGAACTGGGGCCTCAGGAATGGAACCAAAGCCCCTCCCCCTGGTCCCCCCAAACCCCCCTCCCAGTGCCCCCAGTACTCACACTGGTGCTGGGCGATGGCCAGGGCGAGGAAGGCACAGAATCCCAGCAGGGAGAGGGCGCAGAAGAAGATCCCGACGCCCAGGAAGAACCTGAGGCCCTTTAACCAGGTCCTCCAGTAATCCTGCACATACATCACATGGGTCAGAAGGGCCCAGAGCGCCAGGACACCTGCCCGGGGCAGAGCGAGGCCGTCAGGGGGGCACCCGGGGGTGGGCACGGCCGGCACTGCCACCCCCGGGCACCTGGGAGCAGCTGGGGGCAGCTGGGAGCAACTGGGAGAAACTGGGAGAAAGTGGGAGAAAGTGGGAGCAAGTGGGAACAACTGGGAGAAAGTGGGAGCAACTGGGAGAAAGTGGGAGAAAGTGGGAGCAAGTGGGAACAACTGGGAGAAAGTGGGAGCAACTGGGAGAAAGTGGGAGAAACTGGGAGCAACTGGGAGAAGGTGGGAGAAAGTGGGAGAAAGTGGGAGCAAGTGGGAGAAAGTGGGATCCAGGCTGGTACAGGTTGGAGTGAGACAGGTTGGGTTGGAAAGGGTGGATTGGAAAGGCTGGATTGGCACAGGTTGGATAGGACAGGGTGGATTGGACAAGTTGGATGGGACAGGTTGGATGGCACAGGTTGGGTTGGAAAGGCTGGATTGGCACAGGTTGGGTTGGAAAGGCTGGATTGGCACAGGTTGGATGGGACAGGTTGGATTGGCACAGGTTGGATTGGAAAGGTTGGATTGG